TGTGTGTGTGTGTGTGTGTGTGTGTGTGTGTGTGTCTGTGTGTGTGTTAGTGCTTAAGCCTGTAAAGGACACCGCCTCCGCTGCTGCTCTCAGGACATCAATGTTGGCTTTGAGGGGGGCAGCGGACACAGATGTGCCACATCTGTTTTTATATAATATGCAGATTCAGGATGTGAAAATGTTGCAAAAACTGTTAACGATAGTAGAATTTTAAGATTATTTTACCTATTTAGCTTTTATAATGATGTTTGGTGAGGGAMAGTTCTGATAAGTACATACAGTAAAAAATAAAAAAAAGCTAAAAATGATTAATTTCTTATCATGCTGGTTAAGATGTTAACTGAGATTAAAAAATTTTTCCTTTAAAAGGCAAATAACTGTTAATGTAATTAATGAGCTAGAACTGACATGCACAATCACACAAACAAATAGAATAACATAACTGGTTTAATTTGGCTTTTGAACCTAAAAACCCTGATATTAAGAAGCATAAAAAGAAAAGCTAAAAGTGATTTCTTTTGTTTGACTGCTCTAATCAGGGAAATGTAGCTCGTTCGAAGGGTCATAAAGGTGAATTGTTACAGAAAATTAGAAAGCTATTTTCTACTTTACAGAAAGAAAGAAAAAAAATCCACTACATGCTACTTGAACACAAAAAGAGAACCAAATGTGTCAAGKTACAAAGGGGGTGAAAAGTGGAATATTAAAAATGATGCAAAAGCCAAGATGGAGGGGAAATAATCTAAAAACAGCGGACTTACGATTTGCTGGTGCTGAAAAAAGTAGCTTCAAAAACTACAAAAAGGGGAAACAAAAAAAATTCATTAGAGAAAAAATAGTTTTCTTTTCCTGAAAAAACCTGCAGGAAAGACTGGAAGGAGCAAAATCCAAACGAATAGTTTCATTTATTTTTATAAAAAGATTAAATGATAATTTSTCCATGTTTGTTGTCGTTATCCCCATTTCCCAATACCCGTGTTCCTGGGAACCCTATATTTACCAGTCCAATGGTTGCACTGTAATTAATTAGAGAGAGAAAAACAACTTTGATGAAACACATTATTTACCTCAGTAGAACAAGGTATTGTGGAAAATAGGTACTGTATAGTTGTACATCGTCTAAAATTGTTTGTGATTTCTTACTATGTTGATACATCAGAAAATTACAGACCCTGTCCGGTGACAATAACTGTCTTGTGGCCACGAYATAATTTTGAACAGCCAGATCAAATGATAATTATTTTGTGGCCACGCATTAATGTTTATTTTAATTCAACATCACTGAATGGGCTTCTCAGAGAATATGTCCAGGTGAATCATTTTTATTATTATTTAAAAAAAACACTTTTTGTTAAGACCCATTTTATTGCGTACCAAAGCCAAACTCAGGAGTTTCTGCCACAAAGAAAAGAAAAAAGGGCCAAATTTGGGTTTTGAGCCAAATAAAAGATGCTCAATAATTAGCATAATAGAAAAAAATATGGTGGCCAATAAGTAAATCCATAAAAAGATAACTTTTTGAAGATTTACATTTTGTTACCGGTAACTCAGGGTCACCTGGTTCCTTTGAAACTTTATCCCAGTTTTTCATATATTTAGAATTGGGTGTCCATTTGGTTTTGCTAGTTAATTTGGTGAATAAAAGAGATATTTGTTGAAATGTTCCTTTATAGACACAATTGTTGACACTAGAAACATACAGATTTATACAAATTACAATGACAAAWCATTACGATTCAGGAGAAAATGCTTCCTTTAAGGCAGGGGTTCTTAACCTTTTTGACCTCAGGGCCCAATTTRTTGAACATAAAGTGACACGAGGCCCAGTCACACATTATCAATGTACAGATCAAAATGATAATTATTCTAAATCTTGGTTTAATTTTTATTGTATTTACATCATAACTAAACTGTCATAACTAACATAACTAAATTAAATACATTTACAGTTTAAAAGTAAAACTCCTGTCAAATAATCACAAGACATGATCATGACAAACATTTTTATATTGTAACCTGCCCATAACAATTATTTGAACAAATACACCAGTCAGTCAACAGACCACTCAGGCTTATCAGCACCAAATATATATAATTTTAACATAAACAATAACAAAAATAGACAATTCAATAAATAAAACTGTGGACATAAAATAAATAAATTAAAAATGTTTAAATGTTTCAAATACAAAAGACAACTTAAAAATAAATTTGATCAAGTACAAATGAAAATAATGCCTTTTGAAACCAGAAGCTGCTCTTCATATTAGTGACAAACTTTGGTCTTATTTTATTTTATTTATTTTTGGCCTCCATACATTTTTGCTTCTACTTTTCATTTAAAATAAGTTTCCATTCTCAGCAGGTTTCTAAGGTTCTTCTTCTACATATTAAAAATGTTGTTGAACAACTGAGTGGTGCACTACTGCTACTAGTGGTGAGAAAGTGTATTGCAACTTTTTAAAAATCAGTGTGGTCCCACGGCCTGCGGCCCAAAGTTAAAAACTGTTGTTCTTTTGAGGCCCTCAAGGTGGCGCTTGCAGCCCACAATTGGGCCACGGCCCATRGATTAAGAATCTCTGCTTTAAATCATCTTGATGCATCCTGCCTCTTCCCTTTAATTTTGTATCCTCCCAGTCATACGCCATGTTAGGCCATCTTGTGTGTTTATTATCTGATTGTTCAGACTTTACACTTCTGATCTCCGTCTTTCATGCTCCTCATAATTGATTTTAGTATTAATTTCTAACATTAAAAATTAGATTTTATCCATGGCGTGATACATTTAAAACTTTACTTTTCTCCTCATCCCTAAGCACGCACCCAGTAATCCTGGCTTTGATCTTAACCAAATTTCAACTAAAGGACAACCAATATGAGTGTCTTTTTTATTTAAGGCTAATGTCGAAAGTCGACATAACACAGATTTTTATTTTTTAGTAAATATGTTTATTTCCCAACAATCTTAATTTTTCTTAAGTGTTTTACTGTGCACCTATGGCCAATGTCTGACTGAAACTGGTCAACCAATTAATCATTCCATCTTAAATTTAAACCTTTGAATTACTTTCAGCCCTAAAATAATAATAATAAATAAAATTATGAAAATCGGATTTGAYGGCCATTAGGCTATAAAAATCTGGAGCTTCCAGTTACGCTGTGATTGCAATGRTTCAAAGCTACAACCGCACTAGAATTTAACTCATTATGTTTAAAGTTAATGAGTTATAGCCATTTTTGGGTTGGTTAACTGTGGCAGACCTCCAGACCTGACTCCCAATTCAGTTGGCACAACCAGCGATTTTATCTAAACGTTTCATTAAAATTTATCCACAGGTTTGTGAGATATTTTACTTAATCGCCTGTCATGGGGTCAAGCAATAAATGAGTGGGTAGGCTACAAGTCAACGTTACAAAAACCACTGCAAGTGATTTATGATGTTCACCAGAAAATGTGTACCTTTTAATAAATGGAAAAACAAAGAAACAACAATGCTACTAAAGGAAAAGGGCAACCATTAAAACAGCATGATTTTCCTTTTTATTGTCTCTAGTATAGTTTTAACTACAAAATGCATTAATGTCAAGTGAAAAACCACATGGACATATATCACAAATAAATAGAAACTCAAACAAGAAACTGGAAATTGTGCAGCACCACATAGCGTACTTTCCAATCTGAATATTATGCAAAACTAAACAAAACTAGACTGTAGAGGAGAAAATATGTCTAACAAATTTAGCTGATTTGCTTGTTAAACCACCTGCTTGTGGCCACATTTCCCGAGGTATGCAAATATTATGCAACATGAGCAGAGAGAAATCTGTTTTTTTTTTTACAAAGTTTGTGGCAACTGGTGGTTTTTTTGTGTCTCGCTACTGAAAGGACATGGTGGATGATATGATTTGCCTGAGTCTAATTTGGTAACCAAATTTTACACAAACCACAGGACAAATTTTAAACTCAGTGGGTAAATATCTGCAATTGATTGACTTTTTGAACCAACAGACTAGGTTTACCATGCAGGYAAAAGTGACCCAAAACTGATTTTCTTTTCTTTTTTTGCCCATATGCGACCAATACTGAATTATTTTTGACTGAATGTGAAAAATCAGATTTTTTTCCCCCCCATTTAAACTTTTTCCCCCCTGCAAGCGAWCTGTCAGCAATGGGGAAAGAACGTAGGGCAGAGATGACTTCACCAGCAGAGGAGCAGGGAAAGGTGGATGTGGACAAGTGATGAACTTATCTCTGGAGGTGGAGCGGGTTTGGAGATAATTATTTATTTTTATTTATTGTTTTTTTTTTGTCTGTTTATATGCCCTATTGGCTCTGAGACATCAAATAAATTTGAAGCTTTTTTTGAAAAAAAAAAAAAATCCAGGCAATTTCTCTACACATCACTATACCTGTGAAATTGGGGAAAGCCTGTGCCATTTACGGACAATCCATACAACTTGACTTGTATGCACGTGGCAGTGGCAGAGTAAGACTGCTGAGGATCTGATTGTGTTTCTTGGTCATTCTCTCATTTMCATCCATGGACAAAATGGATGAAAACTGTTAATGTTAATGACCCACTGTAAAACTTAAAACTGACAAAAGTACACACAAATCTTAGCTCAAATTATTTTCCATCTTTTTTAGAAGCACCATCATTTATGTCCAAGCCAGTTTCACTAGTTCGCTTTTTAAAATAATTCTGCTGAACCACATTTCTGAACCAGTGTCTGATTTGCATTTGTTCATTTTTTTGTCAATTTTTATTAATTTCTTTTGTCAGTTTCAAGTTATTTCAGAGACCACTTTTTTTGGTCAKTCATAGAAGTGCGTGTCCAGGTCTGTCGCAATGAGTAATTAATCAATTAAACACACAATAAATCCAAATGAGGCCGATAATTTCTGTTTGCCTCCTTGTTTTCTGTCTCTCTCTCCTACTCAGTAGTGTAGGGAGTAGGGTTGGGCATGTGCAATTAATCGTCAGAAAAACATTAATCAATTATTTTTTGCACTTGACGATTAATACGATTAATGCCACCAGGCAGACTGGAGATTTTTSYAAARAGCAAATCTTTCCCACTAAATTGGTCATGTGACTAGGACTTAAGGGGTACTCCAGGGGATTAATCATCAAATKAATTGTYATYGGCTAAATACCACAATTAATCTTTTTGCCAATATTGCCCAACCSTATGGGGGGCATGAAATCTTGCATCAGGTAATTGTCAGGTACATGGTCTCATGACCTCTGGGGCATGAGACCATGTGAACAGGCCTTTAGTAAAACGAGCATCTTTGMTTTTCTGATGCCGCTTTTCAGCTGGGTACACATCAGGACACCCTCAGGACATCATGCCAAACCTTAGGTTTGCAGAGAGGTTTTTTTTATTACACTACATAAATTTCTTAAAATTTGTAAGCAGCGTGTGGGTGATAGCAAGTATTTTATAAGGCCAGAGGAAGACACACAAAATAAATTGCACCAGCTTGACTAGAGAAGGTGGGGAGCGATGTTACAGCTTCAGCAGCTGTTGTTGTTCTCTGGACCTTTGGTCCAGGTCAGTTCTTACCTCTCCTCCACCCCCCGTACGGAAATTTAGTGGTTTTGTGTGTGTGCTCAAAAAGCAGTGCCTAGCATGTAGAGTTACATCATGAAAATTGATTTATTTTAATTTGATTTAATGATTTATTCCAGACATGTCAAATCATTGAATCTATATAACTCAATATACCCTTTCACATATCTACAAAAAATAAAAAAATAAATAAGAATCATTTATTTGAGCAGTGCAGCTGAAATGAACACTGCGTATAGAAATAGCTTTGCCAATAGCTTGCTGGCAAAGTGACAGTGGGTGTGGCCTTTTTCTATGGTGGCCATCTGGCCACCCCCTGGCTCCGCCCCTGGCATGTGGGTCATTGTAGGGCCATAGTTTGTTTTCATTCTGATGGTGGCTGCTTTTATATTACAACCTGACCACGCAAAAAAATTAGATCAGAGCAGAAAAAAACTAAKTTAATTATGGAATAATTTGGAAGATGACATTTAAAATGCCAGATCAATGTGTATATTTAAGAGAAAAATAAAGGTTAATTTGTTGGCGTATGTATGGGCAGAATGTAAGAATTGTTGCTCAAGAAGGAATTAAACCTTTATTTTCTTTTATTTTTTGTACACTTTTGTAA